ATTTTTAATGTTGAATTGTTATCCCAGGGCATACGAATTATGGACAGAAGAATTTCTTATTTCTGAATATGGAAATCTGACTGTGCGGCTTGAATCACGAGCTGAAAGTAATGACAGAATACCATCTGGAGAAACAGGAATTCTAGGTCGTGACACCGTCAGACATTTTATACAAAACTACCAGACAAGAGATGCTTATGTGATCTCACAGGTTCCTCAGCCTATGGAAAGAGACATAGGAATTCCAGCATGTTTAAGGTAACTTTCACCAAGTTCCAACCTTTACTAAGCTTGTGAATATACAGCCATCCTTGCTCCTTGGGACATGTGCATCTCAATGACACAAATTGCATGCTGATGACATATTTATCAAACTGTTTATTTGGTTATTAAAATGTAATTTAACTTTAAAGTTAACCATGAAGAGCTTAGTGGTCAAGCAGTCCACAAGCTTAGCGGTCAAGCGGTTCATAAGCTTGGCGGTCAAGCGGTTCACAAGCGTAGCGGTTTAGCCATCCACAAGCTTAGTGGTCCAACAGTTAAACGGTCAAGTGGTCTACAAGCTTAGCGGCCAAGCAGCCCACGAATTAGTGGGCATCCAGTGGTCAATCCCATGAGTGCATGCTCACATGGAATGTGATAGCTTTGTACACTGCTAGGATGTGCGAGTTCCTCATTGAGCATTTGTGCAATTTTCTGTGGAGTGGTTCATTTGCTAAATTTTAGCGTCTTCCCCCCGCCCATCCCTTATTAAATGTTTCATCAGTGTGATAGGTGCCTGGAATGGGGGCTCATGGCTTGGTTTCAGGGATTTGCCAGCCATGGGGGTAGTATTCTATCTGGGGGCTGGCTGGCCACAGTCAAGCCCCTGGGTATCCCAGGCACCCACCTTCCACTTAAGGGAGGCAGTTGGTTAAACACAGTTAATCTAGTAGTCATGGGGTTCCAAAATATATAAAATTTGTGTGAGTTTATGCATCTCCTGTATGACTGTGCATGTGGTTGATGCTGTGAAAAAGTCAAGAAAATGTTTTGCTTTTGTGAGTCTATACCACTGTAAGTTTTGAGTGACATGTCTGGCTGCATTGCAAGGAAGCTGAAGGTCACTCAATAAATTTAAAAGTTATTAAACTTTAATTCTCTTTACCTTGCAGATGTGGTTCTTTTGTTGAAGCCCTCCAAGAGGTTCACCTTTTCCTTTCAGCCCGTGGAGGCCAAACAAAGCTTCATCAGGATCCATACAGTAATATACATTGTGTATTTAACGGTACCAAAGATTGGCTACTAGTTCATCCAGACCAGACAAATCTTGTTTACATGTCAGACGATTCTGCATTTGAGTGGGGAGGATATTCAGAGATTGATGTTGATTCTGTTGACCTAGAATTGTTTCCATTAATTAAGGATGTGCATTACTCGAAAGTAACAATGAGTAAAGGTGACTGCATCTTCATGCCTGGAGGTGAGCTTAAACTTTCAATAAATGCAGTATTATGGTTGTATCAGTGAACAGTTTTTTGTCATACTTAGACACTTGTCTACTTGTTAACTAAATTAATGCAAGAGTATTAATTCTACCTTAAGCTTCACTCCGTTTGCTTCAATTACAAGTTTATATTTCATCATATTTTCAGGAGATAACTTGATCCCTTGTATTACTGGAAATTAAGGGTGCAGCAATCAACTGAAATCATACTGTCATATCAAGAGTATCATCTTCATATTTTTGATCTGTTATAATGAGAACCAAAATTCAAAAGTGGACTAACTCTTTTCTTTCACAATTTTTTTTTTTTAAAAAAGCAGAAACAAAAACAAAAACAAAAAAATCCAGGGTGCGCAGCATATGATTTCTATGAAACTTTCTAGTCACCCAGAAGCAAACATCAAGCACCAGGGGCTAACAAAATTAAATTTCAGTGGAGATGTGACTGTAGTATTTCAGTGGAGAAATGATTGTAGTCTAAAGGTTTCAGGGACTAAATTAATGGATAATTAGAGGAAACAAAATTTTATTATTTTGTCTTCCTTACAGGTTACTGGCATCAAGTTCGCTCTTGGGGGCACATGAATTCTGCTGTTTCAATTTGGTTTTCACAAGTGAAGCATTTTACAGACCAAGGCTGTGACCAAGCAAAGATTGACTTCACGCCAATGAATCAAGTGATGGTGCTATGGCGCTTTTCTGGGCATGGCAATCTTAGTCAAGGCCACATGGATATCCACATTGTTAAGAGATTTCTGTTGATGCTGGCTGACAGTGAGGGAAAAATATGGTTGAATGATTTTGTAGCAAAGTACCTTAATAGTGAAAGTGATGTTAAAAGAGATGTGATGAGGGAAGATGAAAGGGAAAGACAAAAACAGGTAATTCATCAAAACCCTACTGATGAATTTTTTTTCTCTTTGACCAGGGGTGGGATGAACCTTGCAATATTATTAAAAAAAGAAACATGACAATAATGTTACGAAAATCACTCAAGACTAAAGGCAGCTAAGTGTTCTCAACCACAGGAAAATGGCTGTTGCACCCAATTTTTAGTTATCGTTTAAACTGATAAATACTATTAATATTGCATGCATGACAAGTGCAAAAATGAGGATAATCCAAGTGCTTTTTTTCATTGGGTATCTGTTGTAGTTAATTTTTTAATATCTCAGGAAATTTTTCTTTTTCTTTTGTTTCAACTGCATGCATTAGCTACATTACCATACCCAAAAACAAGAGAATAAAAATTATCTGAGATAAAAAAATTAGCTACGACATATCCAGTATGCATGAAATCAATAATTTGCTAACTTGGGATCCATATGGATGAAAGCTAGGATACGTTAGAGGTCAATTAATAACTGATTTCAAGTTAAAATTTTTTAACCTAAAGGTTGATTCTCATTTCCCTTTGTCCTCTTGGGCTAGGAGACAAAGGATTTAACTTAGAATCAACCTGCAGGTTACATTACTCCACTGCAGTTTATGTTATTGGCAACATAGTGTTCAAGATAGTGATTGTCAGTCAGTTTCATTGCATGACGTTGCCGTGTTCAAAGCTATCCATTGATGTTAGAAACCCTTTCACTGCTTGCAGAATCTGCTGGCTGTTATGTATTTATTCTTAATTTTTATCTCATTGCAGCTAGTTGATTACTTAGATCCTGATGGTAAAGGCTTTGTCACTGAAGAGTATGTGCAGAACCTTTCTGTTGATCAGATGAAGGAAGTCTTGTTGTTTATTGACCCTACTGATGTCTCAAATACTGAAGAACTTGAGTACAGCCACATTGATGCAGGTTACATTGAGTGAGTGGTATTTTGAAAAGAATATTAATTACAGATTGTAGTAATAATAAAGCCAGCCATAAGGGAGGTAGCTGGATGGGCAGTCAGTCTGGTAGTAAGTCAGAGTCTGTCATAGTCGTTAAACTGATGTACTGCACTGTAGCCTGTTAATACACTTGTAAGCATAATTTCCACTTGAGGGAATGATCTGCCCCCTCTCACTTGTGAGTTACACAAAGATCATTTTTGCTCACCACTTGAAAAGGAGAGCTTACTCTCAAGCTGTAAATGATTAGGCAGTTCACTGGTCTGTCAAACAGCTAGCAGTCAAGCCAGCCTGGTTAGTCATTCTGTTCATCAGTGCGAGTGAGTCAGTTGGTCAGACAGCCAAAGGAAAAGGAAGGAAAAAGGACAAGTTAGAACTACAAGTTGTTAATGAGGCAGTCAGACAGCCAGTCAGGTAATTCTGATCAATAATTTGTCACTCATTTACAGGTAGTCAGTCAATCAAACAAGCCAAGTTAACCAGTAAATAAGTTGATTAAAAATACAGTACTGTTCCAATTACTTACAGAGATCTATTGGCCCAGTGCTATAATAAAAGAGGAATCTTTGATAAAGACAAGTTTATGTCAAGTTATGTTCAGGTAAGGGAAGAGAATGCTTTTCTCAGATAATGGTGTCTTGCATAGATGCATCTTTTATCTTATAATAGATGTGGGGATTTTGATGTAAAGTTTTAATTCACCTCTCTTGCCCAACAAGTTAAGCATGCAAACATCACATCTGTATTAAAAATATGTGCACAAATGAAGGCATCTGTTAAGAACACAAAGAACAGCATGAACAAGAACATCCTTAAAACAGAAATTTAATGTCCCTATTACTTAAACCAAAGGTCCTGTCTTAAGTTAGCTTGAGATCATGCCCTCTCCCTATCCCCCTAAAAGAAGTAGGCATTGAAGCCTCTGTTTGTGGGTGTTATACAGTCATGTAATGGAGTGTAAATTTTATGTTGTAGTTGAACTGTTTTATTTATATCTTGCTAAATCTCATTAGGATCTTGGAGGAACTCATAGAAAAGCCCTTGAGGTTAGTAAATGGTTTTCTCAACGTTTGCAACTTTTATATGGTGATCATTACTCTGAATTTTACTGGACAGTATATGAATAGCAAGGTTCATTTCTAACAAAATTGTGGTGCTACATCAGTGAGGGAGTGAAACACAAAACTTAAATTTAAGCAACTGAGTTGATGAAGTCTAATATTCCACAGCCTGCTCCACGGACAATCAGTACATCTGCAAGCCAGCACCAAAATCCTTACTCTGGGCCCCAATTATCAGTGTACTACACAGGAAAAAATAACGGATTCCCAGTTTTGGATATTTTTGGGTATTTAAAGAATACCCATAAAAATCCCAAATTTGGCTAAGTGAGACAAGTCCCAACCAGGGAATTCCCAACCAAGTTCCCAGACTGGGACTTGTCTCACTCTTCCAAATTTGGGATTTTTGTGGGTATTCTTTAACTACCCAAAAATGGGAATCCGTTATTTTTTCCTGTGCTAGGATTTGAGGACATGCCATGGTTGGCCTGTTAAAAAAGCCATTGCTCAATTAATTGGCCAATCAGGTTGAAGGAAAATTTGAACACACTTCTGGTAATTCATTGAGTCTCAGTTGGGGGCCCAGAACAAAGATCTCCACATCGCTTCACAGATTTTTAACCTGGGTTAAAATAAATTACATCTACCAGTGACTGTACCACTGACATTCAGAAGCTGATAGCAGAAGGCTACACTGAACTTATAAGGCTGTGTTATTATGCTATACCAACCACATTACACATAAGAACAATAATTTCGGCACAGTGTTTTAAGTGGATCATCACACATCAGATAGGTTTCTGTGTCACTCTTTGCAGCAATGTAAACAGGTATTTACAGTGGCAGGGAAGTGCATGAGAAGGAGTGGGGACTGGAACCCACTGAGATGAACATAAATTAATATTCAGGAGCTGTGGGGATTGGGATTTAATTTAGTAAACCAAACCCTCTTGGCCAGCCACTTCGGTGTTCTAGTTGTGGCCCTGGTTCCTGATAGGCCAATAAGCAATAATCCAGGATTACAAATTTTGTTCCACCTTTTGTATTTATCTTCCCATGCATTGCTTAGAGTAACATTCTACATGTATGTTATGATCACTGAATCTTGGAGTAAAGACACAACAGTATTTTGTACGCTGTAGTGACATGTTCTTAGACAAGAAAACCTTGCTTGAAATTTGGCTTAACCCTGGGTTACATTTAACCATCTTTCAGAGAACCGGGCCCTGGGGTTGTATCTGTTTATACTGGCCCAGAGTACTATTTTTTCTTGTCAACTTGACTATTATAGTGTAGACATAAAACCTACGTGCTCAAAACATTACCTTTGACCTTTGAATTGTCATTTCAATTACTGGTTAATCTCATGGCTATTATTTTGCCTACAGATTGTCGAGAGTCTTGGAGCAGCTAACAAAGAGGTTTCTCTGGCTTCAATATTGCCATTAATCCCACAAGCTTTGTACAAGTTTCACAGTTCAAGAGTACATGACCCAACTTTTGAACGGAAAATGTATCAACATTTACGTGAACACGACGAACTTTAACTTACGAATTAACATTCACTGCATTATAATAAAAAGCACTCAATTCTAATATAAAAATATGAATAAAAATTAATAAAACATTTCAGAGGGAAAAAAATAAACTCTCTGGTACACGAAAAACAAACCAAGACAAAAGCCTTTAATGCCCCCAAACCTACCCCCTCCCCTCTGCTAACATAAAACAAACCTTCATCTCGCCGTAATAATTTTGAAAAAAACAAAAAGTTTATTTAATACTACTTAGTACATTATTTGGTTACAAATTGTTATGAAAATGCTAGAGAACTTTCTTGACTAAAGTTTAAAATTATGGTATAGCTATACAGGTCCTTAATACAATTGGTACAGAAGAACTTTTGGCTTTTAATTTTAAGCCTAACCCTTTAAACCCCAAGAGCAAAACCGAAATTCTCATTTGTTGCCCCTATTCATTCCTAAATATGTAGTGGGGAGAAAATTGTTAACATATCAAGCATCTTGCATGATCATGTCCCAAATTCTCTTCAATTCCAATTCCATATCATCTTAACCCTAAGGCTGTGCTCTAAGGAAAATTGAAAGGGAGCCCAGTGCTCTGAACCTGTAAAATGTAGGATGCCCAGCATATGATTTGTATGAAAAAAACTTAGATTTCCTAGTCACCCAAGTGCAAAAGTTAGGTGCCAGGGGCCACCGGGCTCTGCTAAAGCACAGCCCTGAACCCTTTATTATAGGTTCCAATGTCTAAAAACAAATTTTCCACACTGATCTCCAACGTCATTTCCTTACAGAATTAGTTGAGAGTATTTTGTTGAGAGCATTTTTCTTTGGTGATCATTTTGTTAATTCTCATAGTCTTTTCTCTTGATTACATGTAAGGTATTGTACTGATATTGTGAGGAGAAAATTGATATTGATCACTCTTGGAGTTTAAAGGATTAACCCTTGCACTCTTACACTAAGTCTGGGTTAGATGATTTTTCATTCCAACTTTATATTGAATCTGTGAACAAAATCCTCTGGTGTTAACCTTGAAATGAAACCTTTTTGGTAGATCTTTTGCTGAAATAATTTTTTGATTTTACAAAAGAAATTTGGAATTTTTCCTTTAGTCATAGTTCATAGAATGAAAAGGTTAACATGCCTTCTAGGAAATGTTTAAAGTAAAAGTCAGTTTAATACGAGGATTTACAGTTTTTCCAAACTCTGTCAATATCCTGTGAAAAAACTTTTTTAACACTTTTATGTTACAGAACTTACACAATTACTACTAAAAATAACTTACTGTACAAATGAACTAAAAAAATATTTATTTTTTTAAACAGTACTGTGCTATGTAAGAAGTGTGTTGATGAATTCTAGAAATCTTCCATCTGTCTGGTCTGTAGGGAATTTCTTTATCAAAGATGACTGAAAGAAAAGCCAAAATTTTGTTTTAGAAAGTGTATCATTATAAAGATCATAAAATGTTGGGTTAAATGCATCATTTTAAACTCTTCCTCCTGTTTACTCTTGAATGTCTTAGTAGACGCGACTTCCAAAGAGGAAGATGTTAATAGATCCAGTATGCTTTTGAACTTTGCTTTAGACTTTAATCAGCAAAATTCAAGGAAGGACTAGAAAAAATCTGAGTAGTTTTCAAGCTTAATGGATCTCAATTCAGTTCAAGTATATGTTACATGTTAAACCTAGGTAAGGTTTATTCTCAATTTCCTTTGTGTCCTAGCATTAAGTCATGAATAGTTTATAGGGCTACATGTACGAGACAAAGGAAATTGAGAATCAACCTAGGTTAAAAAATTTTAAACTCATCACCAATAGATGAGCTTGGGCGTTGGTGCCTTCGAAGTTGGTGGAGCCGGGCAATGCTCTAGCATGAGGAGGAGGTATCCATGGCAACCCTGCGAGCGGCCCCCACCAGGCACACTGAACAATTCAGTGGAATACTTACCGACCCAATACTTACCTAGCCCACACCAAGAGGGAGGGAGGGATGGGAAAAACCAAAGCACAAACTGGCAGGCAAACAGCAAGCAATTGAAACAACACTTTGCGAAGAACTGCAAGCAAGCAACTGCGTATATAAGTCACGAGGTGCCCCTGCTAGAGACATTGGGCCACCCCTAATATAGCTGGGGAAACAGCTGACCAGCATTGCTTCGAGGTTAACTTTGCCTAAATTACATTTAACCACATTTAACCTGAATTTAATTTTGGCCTGTAACATAAAAAATATCAAACATAAGAAGGAAGGTTTTAAGCCTTCATCACAATCTTAAAATTACTAGTGATTCCTTTTTTCCCAAGTCGTGAAACAAAAAACTAAAAATTAATATTGAAGGCCTTTCTCAAGAAAGGATAAGCCTTGCATTATTACTGGTTCATTATTACATATGTAATGTGTAGGTTTAGGTAGAAATAATTTTTTTCTTCATTGCTACCATTCTTACCTTTACTTTGTCCAAGTAAGTTTGGTTTCCATGCCACAAGTTATGAAAGTTGATAGTGTCTGGACTACCCTTGTAGAAACTCCACATCCATCTCTGAAAACAAAAGTCAAAAATATTACTTGTACTGTAACTTGTTGTATTTACCTGGCAACTTGAAATCTTAGTGACAGCCCTGTGAGGTAACCCACTAGAAAAGGCGTAACGTGCCTGTGCATGTAATCTCTCATTTTAATTTGATCATGTTTACATGTAGGTGGGGTGACCCTCCCAGGTGGGATGGCTGGTCTGCCAGACCAGGTACCCTCTCTCAGCCTGGGTCAAATTTTGCCAAGTAAATGTTTCAAGGTGGGGTACCCTACCTAGCTGGGGTTTGATTCATTTTACATCAAATTCGCCTCAAATGCCTTTGGCGGAAGCTTTGCGTCATTAAAAGTGAAAGCCATGCAGCATTAAAAGGTTACAGCAAGCCAAAGATCAGCAAGTGAGAGAAGAGGAGCATTAACCCCCAAAACATCTTTGCCTGCCATTTTGTGTTTACGTGCTTAGAGACCATTCAGTAATCTTGAGAAAAAGCACCCCAAGATGGTGGGGTTGTAAGGTTACATGTAGAAGACAGGTTTTTTTTAACTCCACCCGAACGGGTTACCTCAGCAACCTGGGGTCCCCCACCTCCATGTAAACAGGCCCTTAAGCATATTCACAATATTATACTGGATAGGTCTTGAGCTCAATTCTCTATACATACCAATTCATTTAGCAGATCTTGAGTAAGGAACTGATCTTGATGTGTACTGATATTCATGATCATAGGAACTCCTAGTTTATGGGTTTGACCTTCTGGTGAAGCTTGAACCCAGAAAGCTCGTACAGTTGACTCTTTTGTTGGTCGGTAATTATCATATGGAGCTGTTAAAAATGTATTAAAAAACAAAATAAACAAAAAACTGACTAAGTGACACAACAACAAGACATAATGCAATAAAATGGGGGAACAAAGTCCACAACTGGCATTGGAGATGCCCTCAATAGTGTGACCATGAAGCGTTAAGCGTATTGTGTACCCTGTGGTAGTTCTGCACCAGATTGGACTAGTTATAGGCAGATCTGAACCTTACAGTCCTTTTTTATTTGTATGACTGTAAGAATGCCATGTTCAGTGGGATTGAGCCTATAATATTATGACTTGTTTCCCTTTATTCTCACTGCTGATCTCCCCGATCCTTTACAGCTTCACAAAGATTTTGCGATAACACATCTCTTGTAGTACATGTACATTTGCACTTACATACTATCATGCCAAGACAAGGCCCATAGGAAGACGTTTCATGTTGCAATATTTTCTGATACTTGAGCTGATTCTGGATATCTTGTAGTGATGGATCTGGTTGATAGGATGGGTGACTGTGATACCATCCAACAAGAACAAGACCTCGCTGTGCAATGGCATTCCGCACCTGACCACAGAAAGAAAAAATTGTGTTTAGTTTAATTACACTGTACAAGCAGCGGGAAGGTTTTACAGATAAAATTGAGATTTCAAACTGCTAAAATAAGGCCACAACAAAAGTGCTAGCCTGAGGGAAGTGGAACAAACTGTCAGCAGGTTATCAAGTTTTAACTACAAGCTGTCTTATGGGGAAGCAACATTAATTTTGCCTACTGTAGATAAAGTAAAATGTTAGCCAAAAAGGATGATGGTAAGCTAAAGCCGGCATGACTTCCCCGGGCTAGTAAACCTTGCTTGCCTGAACTGGGCAAGGATTTTAAACATTAAATTTTCATCTCACCTTGTGGAAGGAAGTGTTTACCACAGAAATTAGACTTATAAATCAATATTATTACATGTATTTTTGTTTATTTACTATTTGTACCATTGTTAAGGTACACTGTATAGCGGCAATGTACAGAAAATCATGAAAACATCAATCTGTGGTATAATGTAGTTTTTTTTTTACAATTCCCACTGCTCTTCTTCTTTAAGACTACACTCAAAGTAAAGGCTGGCATAAAATACACATGACAGCTGGTAGGTTTTATGCCAACAGTACATTTCTACATGTAAAAAATTTACCTCTTCTTCCACCTTGGGTGCATTTTCTTTGTCAGCAAATCGACAGCGGCATGGAAAAGCCTGCACAATCTTCATGTCTGCATGACATAAAGNAAGGTTTTACAGATAAAATTGAGATTTCAAACTGCTAAAATAAGGCCACAACAAAAGTGCTAGCCTGAGGGAAGTGGAACAAACTGTCAGCAGGTTATCAAGTTTTAACTACAAGCTGTCTTATGGGGAAGCAACATTAATTTTGCCTACTGTAGATAAAGTAAAATGTTAGCCAAAAAGGATGATGGTAAGCTAAAGCCGGCATGACTTCCCCGGGCTAGTAAACCTTGCTTGCCTGAACTGGGCAAGGATTTTAAACATTAAATTTTCATCTCACCTTGTGGAAGGAAGTGTTTACCACAGAAATTAGACTTATAAATCAATATTATTACATGTATTTTTGTTTATTTACTATTTGTACCATTGTTAAGGTACACTGTATAGCGGCAATGTACAGAAAATCATGAAAACATCAATCTGTGGTATAATGTAGTTTTTTTTTTACAATTCCCACTGCTCTTCTTCTTTAAGACTACACTCAAAGTAAAGGCTGGCATAAAATACACATGACAGCTGGTAGGTTTTATGCCAACAGTACATTTCTACATGTAAAAAATTTACCTCTTCTTCCACCTTGGGTGCATTTTCTTTGTCAGCAAATCGACAGCGGCATGGAAAAGCCTGCACAATCTTCATGTCTGCATGACATAAAGAAATAAAGTTATATTGGCATACAGTAAAAACCCACGACTAAGAACCTGGATTTTTCCATGCAAGTTAGCCTAGACATATTCTTAGATAAATGGTAATAAGCACAAATCTAGGTTATAAATTATGGGTTCTTAAACAGGTTCTTATTTTTTGAAGAAAAAAAAAAAAAATTATATACATGTTTAGAGTAGCTATTTACATGTAGTGGTATTCAGCTTATTCATGTATAAATTTTGCATACTATTTTTCTCCCAGACTTTTTTAAAGGGGTACTTCAGTTTATTCCTATGGAGTTACTCTTTGCAAAACATTTTAGCATGAATCCTCCACACTCATATTTACATGTACATGGGATTCTTCTACGTTACCTCCTTCCTATGAACAAAAGATGAATGGCACTAAAAATTTGAGTAGTCAACTGGCTCTCTTCTTAACGTTATTGCTGTTAACATATTAAGTACACTGTACTAGATCAAACTATTGTCTTAAGCAGGACACTTACGATGCGTTTGTGGGTCAAACTTTCCAGCAAGGTATCCTACTACTTCACTTGATGTTAGATGACAATGGTAATCCTGTGGATTTGATTGTAAAGGTACAATGAGGGACAGAAGTGTTGACACACTTCCATAAAATGGCCCCTTTTTGCATAGTGGATATACTTATCCCCTTCCCCTGTCTACCCCAACCCCTTCCCACCGAAATCAATGTTGAATTTTGGACCCTCAAGTCTTTTTTTTACTTCAGACAACATTGATTCGGGGGGTCGGGTGATTTACGGCTTTAAAAGGAATGAAATAATAAATGAATTAAATGTTTGTTAAAAGCACCCATTTTAAACAAGTGTGTCTATTACTTTTGTCCCTGATTGTAGCTGCTGTTAATTTTATTTTACTTCTGTAATCCCAAGATAAGAGTACGAGTATCTTATATAATACATGTACATTATAATAATTGTCCTACATTTGTAATTAAGGTTCAATTATGATCCTTTCAAAATTGCCCCAAACATAACTGATATTCAGTACTGTATCTTTTGTCATCTGTAACATAAGACAGTGTTCTCTAGAAATGTAAACTTTAGTTATCTCTCTTAAATTTAAGACTGGCTGATACGTTTTTAAACAATTATATAGATCATACAGGTATGTGTGATTGTTAAGGTGTTCATTACAAACTCAATATACCTATTTTAATTGGCAGTCTGCTGAAAGTGCTGACACTCACCATAAGCAAAAGACAGTTTGTTGAAATATCTACAGAAAAAGGCTGCATTTTCCCAAGAGCACTAAAGTTCATAAGTTCAACCAGGGTATGTGGATCACTATGGAACATAAAATAATACAAACTCATTAACTCACTGGCAGTATAATAATGATCACTTAAAAATACTGTAATTAAAGAGCCTTTTTTATCATGCTAGAATTTAAACCACTTGTAGACTGGCAGGAACAAAACACAGATCACAAGTCATGGGTCACAAGTGCAAGTCAGTGCTCTATAACTGAGATAAGCAGTTTCCCTTTAAGCTATAACTCTATTTCTGATTGCGAGTTGTTTGTTTACCATAGTGTACAGATAAAATTATTTATATATTATGGCACTCTAAGCTGTACTAAGTGACCTGTGACTTGCATATTGAACACTGAAGAGAACAACGTAATTATTTATCAATTAACCCATTCCCCCCTGAACTGCCCGTAACCGCCCGTGCAGATCCAGGTCCTCTCTACCCATTGTGACATCATCAGTTTTAACGGTCAAGGACAACTTTCTTCACTAACTTGTGCAGAGTGAAGAGATCTTTCAAACCATACCAGAATGAGCACAATTCAGTCAAGGACACCGGAGAAACAAGCAAAAAACCACGTGACATTGACCTGAAAATCTCCATGAAAATCTTGTTCCATTACCCACCTACCTTTCCTTTTGCCTAATCCTAAGATCCTAAATGCTTCCCTAAAAACTCTTCCCACCAAAATCAAGCCTACTAAATGCCCAGCAAGAGAAAAAAAAAAAATTGAGGCAAGAAAAGCAAAAAAAGAAGGGAGGAGAGAAAGCGAAAAGTAAAAGTCAAGACTGCTGTGTCACTTTTAAACCCAAAAACTATGTCGAAATTTTGCTTTCTGCGCATGCCCGAACTTCGCAAGCTGATATTTTGCATCTGGATCAGAAGGCCGCGAAGTGTTCGACCTGTAAACCAGTTTGTGGTAAGTTTTAGCTCTTTATAGCACGACAGTGACCAGAAAACCACTCGACTAGCTTCAAATTGCCATGAAAATTCCTTCTCACCTATCTGGAGTCAATGCTGTGTACTTGACTGATTGCCGTGTTCTAACAGCCAGGCGTTTTCTTCCTACCGAAGCAAGGGGTGATGATAATGGACTGGGCAAATCTAGAACAAACCAGCCATTAAAATAATATTATGTTAATCAGTGATCAATTCTATAAAATTTATTGGCCGTAACATTAACCTGATTCTCGTGCACTCATTTACCTGCATGCCATAACAATAAAACTTACACTCATACACATGTAAGACAATGGGCCGCAATCAGTTAAAAAATGAAAATAAAACTGCTTACATGCATGTACATGGCAAAATAATCACAACTTTTACATCAGGAAAATTGTTATAGATTTATTATTTACAAAAATATTGACAGTTTTTTTATGTCCATTTCAGTTGAAGTTTCTCAGAAAATTGCGTGTGCAAGAAAGAGAAAAACAAATTGTGCCACTATCAAGTCATTTCCATGGTCTGTGCTTTTATTGGTCATAACTCTCAACCAATCAGCATGCAAGAAAAAATTCCTCACTCTAATACAGTGTATATGTTGTAAAATTATTTTTTAAAAGAAATTTATTTTACAAAAAGAAATTGAAATATTTTGCCAATTTTTATCTTTGGACACTATAAGCAAGAATCTGAGACTCTGAACTTACCCACAGGACTTTTCAGTGATACCGAAGACTTTGATGACATGGTCGGAGTCAAGGCTGTAGGTGAGAACCGTGTTGTTGACTTTTGTGTTGGTGGTGGGTGAATGTAGCCAATGTTTGGTTTTCGCCTGTTAAAAAAGAGGAACAATGTAACATTACCACACAAAGTTCAGTTATTTTAGCAGGGCTGCGACAAATACAGTTGCCAATGCGACTGACATTATTTTTCTCCTTTGCAACTATGAATTCTGGTTTAGTAGCCACTTTGGCGAACAGTTTTCTCTATGATTTAAATTTAAATTTAAAGAGTAAAGTTAAAACAAACATTTCATCTTATCTTGTTTTGCTTTTGTCATAAAAAATGTGCCAAATCGCATAAACAAAGCCAGTTTACCTCCAAAATTATACCGACTTGTGCCCGTGAAATATTCCAACAATCATAGATGATGGATTGCACATACTATGAGCTGCCTAATCAAGCCTTCCTAAGGGACTTAGGGTGAGGAGATTCCAGAAACTCCAATACTCAGGCTACTAGAAGTAATAAATTAAATTATTATAAATTAATGCTTGTAAATACGTTAAGTGGAGGAGTGCAAAAATGTGTAGGAAAGGAAAGAATAGCAACTTGCAGCATTCAAGTTAATTCTTTCAAGTGGGGGTCATGTAGACCACCTGAGGTTTCACCCAGACCACATGCTAAATTTATTCATTATATTTATCTAACATCGTTTTATATTTCATCTGTCGCGTCAGGAAGTCGTCTTTGTTGGATCATTGACCCCAGATGCCTCTCTTATCTGGAACACTGTACGTGCAGGATTTAATTAATTGGCCAAACAAAACATTTACATACAGTACATAACAGAGGAATATCAACAATCTGAGCTTTACCCGCGGCCGGATGAACCTTTAGCTGGTTTCTTCACCTCTGCAGGGAAAGAGATGCTACTTGTAGCAGATGAGCTTGGTCCTGAATTCTTTTGTACTGGTACAGAATGATGGGTGGTTGATGGTACATGTGCATGTGTTGGAGAATGGACATTAGCCGACCCTGTGGATAATGATGTGGATGATGATGATGATGGCACACTTTGCATGTCTCCATGACTACTCGATGATTTGCTTGCTGGGGTCTTGCTTGATGTAGGTGAAGCCAACTGAGAGCCTCGGAGGGGTGTTTCTTTCTGTGAAGTCAATGATGAACTGTCTTTGCTGGGTGATGGCTGAAATTTTTTATAACAAGTCAAAAAATATTAACATATTAACCCATTCGCCCCCGAGCCCCCAGTAACTGCCTGTGCAGATCCAAATCCCGTAATCTACTGCTTGTCAATATATGCACAGAAATTATTGTGTCTTTGTGTAAGAGATAGGGATCATTGTCATGTTCTTTGTGATGTAACTCAACAGCTCTTATTCACTTGGTATAATTATCATGCGCCAGCCATTTTATGGACTGAAATTCAGCCATTTTCAGTGAACACAAGTGCTCTTTTTGTGGCCATAATTATTATGGCCACAAAAAGAGCACTTTGCCTGTGGGACCAGTGCAGGAAATCCCAAGCAGGTAACATGGCTCCATCTTGTCCGCTTCGGTAGTCAGTCAGCACAAAGAATTTGCTTCAAATTGCCTTCTCAATAGGCCAAATGGGCGATTGACTCAGAGGCCATGAGGGCGAGAGGATTAATATTGTTTTAGTAAAATCCAACTAGTTGCTCAAAATATCGAGACAAACAACTTTATAATTAGCTAGCAAAACGCAATTCATCCGCCATTGTTTTGGTTTTCAAAGCTGGTGCTTTTTGCTACTAGGGGGCTATAACATATAGCCTAGTAGTAGCTCAACCAATCAGAATGCAGCATTGATAATAGACCACTAGTTGGATTTTGCTGAAAAACATTATTCATGATTATTATTTTATTTAGTAGTGTCACGGTGAAAACAATGAAATTTGACATAAACTGTTTTTAACGACCCTGAAATATCGTCATATGCAACATCCTTGACTACACTTACAGACACAGATGAATGTTGTTTCCTGAACCAAGTAGTTTTGAACTGGTCCAATTTTTTACCCTTGTACTTGACCTTCAAATAAAAATGGAAAAAATTAATGAAAAATTATTACATTGTACTAGTCTATCAAATATAAAGCTACATGTAATGAGCAGCATACTGTGAATTGTTGTAACTGTTTATAATAATTTTTCTTGTTCGCAAAGCCAGGGTGAGTTGTAAAAATAATACTATTAGAGTTGTATAGCTGTAACTGGTACATGGATGAATCTATTGTTTTCTGTTTTGCAAGGCTCAATCATCAACTCAATTCTTGGCAAACAGTTCATTTTACATGAGTAAAATCCATACAAATTGGAAAACAAATATGCAGGCTTGTAATACACTTGAACATCAGTGTCAGAGAAAATTGAGATCTTGAACAAGATGCCATGGTTCATTTATTAACTTTCATAATAAATATTTTATTTTGTTCACTTTCAGTTTTTTAATAGCGCTGGAGTGGTACGTCTGAAGTTCAAAATCGTCTTACTACAGGAAGTTCTCATAACAGAACCACATCGTTTTAAAGCTAGAAGGCGAGGCGAGCACTTAACACAACCTGCTCAATCTTAATTTGTTTTTCCTGCCAAGGTGGTGGCATCCTTGCTCAGGGTTTCTCCGGCAAACAAACGTTCTTCTTTACCGCCGCGTCCAGGCGTATCTTAAGGTCCCTAATACTTACTGAGGCCTTGATTATTTAGGATATCACAAAAACCGACTCTAATAGTTGTTTTGTTATACATTGTTTTGAAGAAAATAACATATATATAAGACTATATATTTTGTAACTTTAGCTTGTTTTTCAGTAATTCTTATTTATCCACATAGTTCATTTAGTTACTTTACAATATTATCTGTTATGACTGCTGTAACCTTTCCTCTCCACCTGCCTCGTCTAGCTTTTGCTATTTGCGGGTGGAGATGGCAAATGATGTGCATGAAATAAAGTATAGTGTGAGAGTTAACATACACACTGTCGCAAGGAAACTGAATTGATATTGCTATTCAAAATCATGCATTGTACGTATCCTACAGATTAGTCAGTTATCTGCTAGCAGATAACTAAATAATCTGATTTCCAAAATTAGCTGTAGGCCAATGAAAAAACAGCTAATGAGTACAATGTACAATAAAGTATAATAAAAAAATTGTACTTGGTTAGGTTACTGCATGTAGAAAAGATAATGACAATTGAGCAGTTGATTCACTCACAGAAGCCCATCCACAGCCTGATTTCTTGGAAGGATTGACAAGCTTTTTGCAGTATATTGCCCATGCAGATGGTGAATTAAACACCTGACTAGCTTCTGGCCATTTTATTCTACCATCAGGTTGGAGATCAGCTACAAACTTTTGACCCTTTAACAAAATAAATTGGTACATATGTAATAACAATAGTAATTATTATTAATTACCAATGTGCTTAGACTGGCAAGTGCTGAGGTACAAAGCACCATCTGGATCAATTTAGGTATCTGGGAAAATGCCCACCTTCCCTTCCCCTAACCCAACATTTTACCCCACATGAGATGCCAATGTCAACGTTGAGTTAGGGGAGGGGTAGGTGGGCAGTTTCCCGGAAAGCTAAATTGATCCCATTGTCCTAACACACCTAGGAACTATTAAAGTGCTTCAGTAGTGTTAACCCTTTAAGCTCTAAGAGTGATCAGCATCAAATTTCTCCTTGTAATGTCAATGCTTTATAAAACACAGTGGTCATGAGAATTACAGACAGTCATGATCACACAGGATGAATTTCCTTGACATTAATATATTTTATCAACTTCTCCCCATTACTTCTGTAGAAAATGAATAGTGGCAAGAAATGAGAATTCAAATTTTGATCTTAGGGTTTAAAGGGTTAATTAACAATTATCCCTCGAGCCCGAATGGGCTATTGACTCAGAGGCCATAAGGGTGAGAAGTAGTAAAATCTAACTAGTTGATCAAAAAATATCGAGAATAAAAAAAATTAGCTACTTAAACTAGACTTTAATCCTTTTTTGCTGCCAAAAAGCCGGCACTTTTCTCTACTAGTGGGCTATAACATATAGCCTAGTAGTAGCTCAACCAATCAGAAAGCAGCATTGATAATAGACCACTAGTTGGATTTTATTAAGAGATCTTAGTCTTAACCCCTCCCAGCCCCCACAACCCTCCTACCCCCAATGTTTTTTCAGCTGTCTGCCTGTTCAGAATAATTTTTCCTGTACTATTGACTTATGTTTGTTGCATGGTTTATAGTTCTGTATGGTTGTGTTGTGTAGTTCTGCTCTCTCAGAAAAGGCAATAGCTAGCTTGAGGAAGCAAGACATCACAGGTAAGTTGTCTCTACATTAAATTTTGTAGCGCCACTGTTAAGTAGAAAGGAGCATTACTCCCCTTTATTTTAGGAGTCTGGCAGAATCCCGTGGGAAAATGTTTTGGGCAACCAGAGAAAAATATTAAACGTGAAAGTGGCACCTTTAATCACCAAACTTTGCTATATTTGATATCACAATGCTTTCATGAAATAATGAGTGTTGCATAAAGTATATGACAGATTTATTACCCTCTTTACAAAAAAAAATATTTTCTGTGGGTAAACAAGACGTTTGTCACAACTAGACAGGGACTTACACCAGTTACCAGAGCTGCTGAAGAACCCTGGAGCTGTGCTGTATAAATGATATTTTAAACAATAATAGATAGGTTACAATGTATAAGATACATACCAGGTAATCAATAGAAAGGCATTTTTCACCAGGCTCAATGACTCCATCATCCATCAACATACCAAGAGTAACACCTCGTCCTGTTAACACTGATCGCGGCTTTCTTCTTCCCTTGGGTTTGGCAACAGATGCTTTGACGTCTTCCTCTTGCTCCATGTCATCACCATCTTCATCATCTTCATCCTCTTTCATGTCTTCATCTTCTTCAATGTCATCAATATTCTCTTCCATTGCTGTAGTGGTAAAAATTGACAGAAAGAAACTATGCTTGAATGCCAGAATGGCTGTTGTCCAACAGTACCAGCAGACACCCTTAGAATTGAGGATGATAACAACTGCGAATACGAGATTGGCCTTCAAGTTTTTTTTGCGTATTGGAAAGTCTAATTGTACTTTTGTTCAACAAAAGAGTTAGCAATGTTATCTTTATAGAAGGAGGTTGACCCCTCTCCTGATTGCAAAATGATGAAACTTCCGACACTAACTATTATCTTGATGAATTGTTTCCACTACATCAACATTCTTGCTAAACGCCTTGTAGAATGACGACGGCTATCAAGTTTTCCCGCCAAAAATGATGCTGATTCACACGCATGCACTACTTAGTATCATAAAAATCTGGTACTCGTAGTCATCCTTATCTTAGAAACTGAAGCTCTCTAGTATTTTGAGACTGTCAACTTACTTTTGAGGTGTACTGTAGTTTTGATTGGGGGAGGGGAGGTTACTCTAGGAATTTTGCCCCAGAAGCGTTTTCGAAGGATGTTTGGTTTGCTTTTTACCGTGTCTCTAAATAGAAGGACCAGGGCGGAGTTGATTTTTTTAATTGGCTCCAGGAGGGGATCACAAACACAAGATTGTAGGCAAGTCAGTTGAGCCAAAATAAGCTACATGTACAGGTGTACAGTGTCTCAAGTATTTTTGCAACTGGTTGTAGCTCCAGGCAATTTGGATGAACTAGGATTAATATTGTTTTAGTAAAATCCAACTAGTTGCTCAAAATATCGAGACAAACAACTTTATAATTAGCTAGCAAAACGCAATTCATCCGCCATTGTTTTGGTTTTCAAAGCTGGTGCTTTTTGCTACTAGGGGGCTATAACATATAGCCTAGTAGTAGCTCAACCAATCAGAATGCAGCATTGATAATAGACCACTAGTTGGATTTTGCTGAAAAACATTATTCATGATTATTATTTTATTTAGTAGTGTCACGGTGAAAACAATGAAATTTGACATAAACTGTTTTTAACGACCCTGAAATATCGTCATATGCAACATCCTTGACTACACTTACAGACACAGATGAATGTTGTTTCCTGAACCAAGTAGTTTTGAACTGGTCCAATTTTTTACCCTTGTACTTGACCTTCAAATAAAAATGGAAAAAATTAATGAAAAATTATTACATTGTACTAGTCTATCAAATATAAAGCTACATGTAATGAGCAGCATACTGTGAATTGTTGTAACTGTTTATAATAATTTTTCTTGTTCGCAAAGCCAGGGTGAGTTGTAAAAATAATACTATTAGAGTTGTATAGCTGTAACTGGTACATGGATGAATCTATTGTTTTCTGTTTTGCAAGGCTCAATCATCAACTCAATTCTTGGCAAACAGTTCATTTTACATGAGTAAAATCCATACAAATTGGAAAACAAATATGCAGGCTTGTAATACACTTGAACATCAGTGTCAGAGAAAATTGAGATCTTGAACAAGATGCCATGGTTCATTTATTAACTTTCATAATAAATATTTTATTTTGTTCACTTTCAGTTTTTTAATAGCGCTGGAGTGGTACGTCTGAAGTTCAAAATCGTCTTACTACAGGAAGTTCTCATAACAGAACCACATCGTTTTAAAGCTAGAAGGCGAGGCGAGCACTTAACACAACCTGCTCAATCTTAATTTGTTTTTCCTGCCAAGGTGGTGGCATCCTTGCTCAGGGTTTCTCCGGCAAACAAACGTTCTTCTTTACCGCCGCGTCCAGGCGTATCTTAAGGTCCCTAATACTTACTGAGGCCTTGATTATTTAGGATATCACAAAAACCGACTCTAATAGTTGTTTTGTTATACATTGTTTTGAAGAAAATAACATATATATAAGACTATATATTTTGTAACTTTAGCTTGTTTTTCAGTAATTCTTATTTATCCACATAGTTCATTTAGTTACTTTACAATATTATCTGTTATGACTGCTGTAACCTTTCCTCTCCACCTGCCTCGTCTAGCTTTTGCTATTTGCGGGTGGAGATGGCAAATGATGTGCATGAAATAAAGTATAGTGTGAGAGTTAACATACACACTGTCGCAAGGAAACTGAATTGATATTGCTATTCAAAATCATGCATTGTACGTATCCTACAGATTAGTCAGTTATCTGCTAGCAGATAACTAAATAATCTGATTTCCAAAATTAGCTGTAGGCCAATGAAAAAACAGCTAATGAGTACAATGTACAATAAAGTATAATAAAAAAATTGTACTTGGTTAGGTTACTGCATGTAGAAAAGATAATGACAATTGAGCAGTTGATTCACTCACAGAAGCCCATCCACAGCCTGATTTCTTGGAAGGATTGACAAGCTTTTTGCAGTATATTGCCCATGCAGATGGTGAATTAAACACCTGACTAGCTTCTGGCCATTTTATTCTACCATCAGNTAATGGTATTGCAGCAAACATAAAAAATGAAGACCTGACCCTTATATGAACTTTTTAAATGTTACATTAAACAAAATTATTATTGGATGAGGTTTTTTATGATATCCGGAATAATCAAGGTTGAGGTAAGTGTTATCGGCCAAGCTGAAGGCCGAGGCTGATAATACTTACTGAAGCCTTGATTATTTAAGATATTACAAAAACCGAATCTAATAATATGTTTTGTTATACATTGTTTTGAAGAAAATAACAACATACACACTGTCGCAAGGAACCTGCATTGATATTTCTATTCAAAATCATGCATTGCGTGCGCATCCTACAGATTAGTCAGTTATCTGCAAGCACATACTGTAACTAACTTATCCGTAGGTTGCGCTGATTTCCAAAATTAGCTGTAGGCCAATGAAAAAACAGCTAACGAGTACAACATACAATAAAGTATAATAAAAAAATTGCGCTTGGTTAAGTTACTGCATGTCAAAAAGATAATGACAATTGAGCGGTAATGATTCACTCACAGAAGCCCATCCACAGCCTGATTTCTTGGAAGGATTGACAAGCTTTTTGCAGTATATTGCCCATGCAGATGGTGAATTAAACACCTGACTAGCTTCTGGCCATTTTATTCTACCATCAGGTTGAAGATCAGCTACAAACTTTTGACCCTGTAACAAAATAAATTGGTACATATGTAATAACAATAGTAATATTATTATTAATTACCAATGTGCTTAGACTGGCAAGTGCTGAGGTACAAAGCACTGTCTGGATCAATTTAGGTATCTGGGAAACTGCCCACCTACTCCCCTAACCCAACATTTTGCCCCAAGTGAGATGCAAATGTTAATGTTGAGTTAGGGGAGGAGTAGGTGAGCAGTTTCCCAGAAACCTAAATTGATCCCATTGTCCTAACACGCCTGTGAACTAAGTGCTTCAGTAGTGTTAACAGATCTTAGTCTTTACCCCTACCCCGAGCCCCACAATCACCCTACCCCCAACATTTTTTTCCAGCTGTCTGCTTGTTCATAATAATTTTTTCTCTACTATTGAGTTACAATACTATATGTACGTTTGTTGCATGGCTTATAATTCTGTATGGTTGTGTTGTGTAGTTCTGCTCTCTCACAAAATACTTGCAAAATGGCAATGGTTACCTTGAGGAAGTATTAAAGACATCGCAGGTAAGTTGTCTCTGAATTTGTAGCACCACTGTTTGGTAGAAAGGATCATTACTCCCCTTTATTTTAGGAGTCTGGCAGAATCCCACAGGAAAATGTTTTGGGCCACCAGGGAAAAAATTTTAACCATGAGAGGCGCACCTTTATTTACCAAAATTTGCAACATTTGATATCACAATGCTTTCTCGAAATAATTAGTCTTGCATAAAATTATGACAGATTGAGTACTGCACCCTCTTTACAGAGAAAAAAAAAATTTCTGTGGGTAAACAGGACTTTTGTCACAACTAGACAGGGATTTACAACGGTTACCATACATCATGTAGCTGCTGAAGAACCCTGGAACTATGCTGTATAAATAATATTTTAAACAATAATACATCTAATTAGGTTACAATGTATAAGATACATACCAGGTAATCGATAGAAAGGCATTTTTCACCAGGCTCAATGACTCCATCATCCATCAACATACCAAGAGTAACACCTCGTCCTGTTAACACTGATCGAGGCTTTCTTCTTCCTTTGGGTTTGGCAACAGATGCTTTGATGTCTTCCTCTTGCTCCATGTCATCAGCATCTTCATCATCTTCATCCTCTTTCATGTCTTCATCTTCTTCAATGTCATCAATATTCCCTTCCATTGCTGTAGTGGTAAAAAAACTATGCTTGAATGCAAGTATGGCTGTTGTCCAACAGTAACAGCAAACACCCTTAGAATTGAGGATGATACAATTACGAATACGAGATTGGACTCCAAGTTTTTTTGCGTATTGGAAAGTCTAATTGTACTTTTTTTAACAAAAGAGTTAGCAATGTTATCTTTATGGAAGAAGGTTGACCCCTCTCCTGATTGCAAAATGATGAAACTTCCGACACTTGATGAATTGTTTCCACTACATCAACATTCTTGCTAAACTCCTTGTAGAATGACGACGGCTATCAAGTTTTCCCGCCAAAAATGATGCTGATTCACACGCATGCACTTCTTAGTATCATAAAAATCTGGTACTCGTAGTCATCCTCATCTTAGAAACTGAAGCTCTCTAGTATTTTGAGACTGTCAACTTACTTTTGAGGTGTACTGTAGTTTTGATTGGGGGAGGGGAGGTTACTCTAGGAAGTTTGCCCCAGAAGCGTTTTCGAAGAATTTTTGGTTTGCTTTTTACCATATCTCTAAATAGAAGGACAAGGGCGGAGTTGATTTTTTGAATGGCTCCAGGAGGGGATCACAAACACAAGATTGTAGGCAAGTCAGTTGAGCCAAAATAAGCTACATGTACAGGTGTACAGTGTCTCAAGTATTTTTGCAACTGGTTGTAGCTCCAGGCAATTTGGATGAACTTTTGATTGAGAGGTACAAGGTTTTGGAAGCGGAG